TTTGCTGTTCTTTGCTCAAGTCACTGCTATAAATTCCATATTGGATAAATTATATATATATATATATATATATATATATATATATATATGTCACAGTGATACAGCATTGATAAATGAATGATGTTTAGACACCATTTTATTGCCCACAGTTACGTGTCAAAACCAGGATCATCGGGGTTAAGAGGAGAGTCAGTCAGAGGGAAATCAACAGCCCACCAGTTATAACCTCTGCCAAATCATGACATATAGTATCACCTCTTATCTGCATTGTGTGGTATGGAGACAAGAGGTTAGTGGCAGTTAATGAATGTGGTATTCACAAAATGAAATCTGGACACCGATAGCGGTTTATGTTTGTACACACATTTTGCATTAAGTAAACATGGATCATCACTTTTTAACCTAGGGGTGAAAGCGTAAAACGGTAGTACTGGGTTGAATCAATTATCACATCATGACTTTACTCTGTGAAGAGATAAAAAGTAGAAAAAAAATACTATTTTTGAATGTTTACTTTCTTTGGTGTTGACTTTTTACGAAAAATGCATAAAAGTGAGTCATATTATCAGTTAATATTGATTGTATTCTTGTCATCCTTGTGTTTTAATTCACTATGAAATCGTTACATTATTCATCACTGGAGGACTGATTATATTATTAATGAATAACACTATGTTAAAACCGTGTCATAACCAGTTGTATTAAAAATATTACAGATTGTACGTAGCTTAAAGCAACCGACGATATAGAATGAACCAGTGTTTGTTTTTGCTCTTTTTAAGTTTCTAAAGTGAAATGTGTCTGAAATATTGCACCCTTGAATGGTGTAATGAATGGGATTGATCCAAACAACCATGCCTAATCAGTAGTGATGAATGACAACTTATTCTGGCACTTTCAGTTCTTGGTTAAAACGAAAGAAGAATGTTCCCGGGAATATTTTAGGAAGTAAACCTAATAATAGGATGTCAATTTGTCTGTCATAGGTAAGGAATAAATACAAACAAACTGGAGAGTGGATTAAAATGAATGAGTGTTTAGAATGGTTAGAAATATATGCATATATATATATTCTTTTTATCTAACAGAAATACAAAAATCATATGTTGGCAGATGTTTTGTTTTGACCACAAATAACTAGTGAATACAAAAAGGAAGTTCAAATTAAAGTGCGTCAATATGAATAGTTCGATTGTTGCCCATAGATTTTTGACATATTGTAATTACGTATTAATAATATGAATACCTACTTAGTGACAAAAAAAACTAACAACTTCTGTCTGCAATCCATTTTTTTGTCACAAAAGTCTTTTATGGAATGTACTCTCTAGAGATTGATGACTTGAAACTGCTTTTGTTATATCTGTACAAGGTTTCCCTGATGTCAAGAAGCAAAATCCACAGAGTACGATTTGTTCAGTACATATCAACTTGTTGCATTTGTATTTAGGAAAGAGTGATTATGTCCTCATAGATAAGAATCAGCGTCGGTGGTTCAGCGGTCGTGTACTCGCCAGCTATTTAAGTAGTTCGTGTTTCGATTCCCAATCGACGCAGTGCTAAACCTTCAGTCGGTAAAAAGCCCGGTAGAGAAAAAAGGCTGGGTGTGAGACTGACTAACACAACCTAAATAAAGTAGTAAACACTGCTTCTACCGAGACTTCAAAGCTCAAGCAGGAACGCGACAGGATTTTTGAAAAAAATAAGGTCACGATACCACAGAAATCCGTAATTTGATACGCTATATAGACCAACAAAGACTGAACTACTCTATAGCATAAAAATGTCTTCAGTAAAATCAGTGACTTAAAAGTTAGGCAGTTATGACAGACATTACCTACTGGAAGTGAGAAGGTAAGAGGAAAACTGTCCACTAATTGAAACTGGTGTGTCGAGGGTCCAGTCGGAGAATGACCACTAGCTACGCGGAAGGTCCGGATTCGATTCCGGGCCAACTCATTATTGAACGTTGGAAGTTTACTAGAGGGAAGTAAACCTGGAAAAGAGGATACTTTCGGTGTGAGGCTATCACCCACACCTAGTAAAAACGACACCCATGCTAATGAAATTTCAGAACTTGAATGAAAATAGAAAAGAACTGAAACTATGTAAATATTGAAAAAGGTAAAATCTTGGCAACACAGACTTTAAATATCTAGTTGACCAATTTGGTACAAATAAAAGTATATTAGTTAAAACTATCACTCACCAGCTGAGGACATGATGCAACCCCAAATCAAGATAAGGTCAAATATGAAGCTTAAATAAATACTAACAGTAGATATTTTGGAGAGTTTATAATTATTCTCTTAAATCTCGTATTTAAGCTCTTAAATTTTAAAAACCCAATCTGTAATATGAATATAATTAAATCTGATCAGTATACAGCAAAAATAATTATGATTATCAGTATGGGGTAGGATAACATAAGTGCCACACTATTTAACGTACACTAGGACATGTATTCTTTATTTAAAGTGGGTAAAAATGAAGTATTTTTCAATAAGTGATATTTAAGAAAAAACTTAAGCCGCATCCCGGGGCGTGACAGTGTTCCAAATGAAGCTGAAACCCAACAACAATCATTTTAAAGCTGGTGTTGTCCATCAGATAGTAGAAACATACGGTCAGTGACTGTAATACTAGTCAATACACATAAAGTAATACCGAATTTAAAATCAAGGCATCCTAACTAAAAACCACACAGCCAGCAGACGACGATCGTTTCAATCCACCGTAAACAGAAAGTGGAAAATTCAACAAGTAATACCTAATAAGTGTTTCAGAAAATTGGTTCTTTTGGCTTAGTAAACCACTTAGCTGTATAAATTAGTGTGTAATGTTTTCCAGTCTTATCACATTCACTGAAATGCAGCGACACTCCAGGGAAAAGTACCAAATATAAAGTAAGGCATCCCAGATCTAACTGGCAGTCTTCAGTTATCAAAACGACTAACTTAACAGCATATCCAGAATGATAAGTTCACGTCAAAGCCAGTGATAATGAAAACGTCGTATTTGTTAAATTCTGTATTTTTCCTTAAGAAATTCTTAATAACTTATTTGTGTCAAACACTGTCACGTTATTCACTTATATACAGGCATACACCTATGCGTGTAGGTGTGTGTGTGTGTGTGTGTATTGAACTGACTAAGTGAATGAGCCCAATAAACTGACTTGACCTTTGGTCTTGACCTCTTGGCCACTGCATAGAATTGTTTCGCTAGTCACTGTCATCAATTAAACGTTTTTCAGTTAGGCTTATTCAAATTAATACTGAATTAATCGATCTGGCTGTCTGACTAATAAGTCATGAAATCGAATATGGTGTGTCACAATTTACTGACAAGTAAATAAATACAGGCAGGCAGAGTTGAACTCATTCTATTAAATAACAACGATATTCATTCAGACATCTAAAAAAACACAAAATAATTGAGCAAAGAATGTCCTTCTCTTCTGGCTCTGCAATTATATATATGGTTATATACAAAGAATGTTCTAGAATAGTAGTCAATAACAATATTAGTGTTTTTTAAATAATATCGATTTGTAAAGTATGATCAGTGGAATCACAGCTCATTAAAGATGCTCAAATTATAATAATAAAGATATAATAGCGAATAGAATATCAACTGAAATTAGGAAAATTCCACAAAAATTCATGACAATTCAAACCTAGATGGCCAAGGTAAGGATAATGTCCGAACTAGCTTCTTTGAGACGCATATATTAGGCTTCTTAATGTGGATCCCAACAGCCTCAAGTGTTTAGTAATCGAACTCTTAGGGCGAAGGTAAGATTTGTTCGTATGAGGTAAATGACTTTGAAAGCCCGGTTAACGTGAATCTTGTGTTCTGTATCCACAAGATAGAATAGCGGTGTGAATAGATTTTGTTTGTGCTTTACTTAACCACGCAGGGCGATGTTCGGAAATCGGACGAGAAACACACCTAATTGTACGGCCTATGTAACTAACTCCACAGAAGTCGTTTTACCTGCACTTTCTTCTACTCAGATACGCAAAGTTTTCAGCCTGGTAATTTCCTTGATAAGCTTCAGTCAATGAAGAGAGATCAGATTTTGCGGTATAAAATGAAGTCATCTTATTCCACGGGTTCTCTTCAACTGCAGAGTGCCTTAAATAACAACTATCATAAAAGAATGAAAATCAAGTACTTCAGTGTTGGAATGATAGCAGTGAAAATTAAATGCATTAAGTTATCCAAAATATAAGTATCATGATTTTTGACTTCTGGTCATTATCATCATTTTATAAGCATTTCAAAGCAGAAAAGAATGGGGAGGAGAAGAGAGAATACGGAAAAATTAAACACCTGTCTTATTAGGTTACATAGCAACTCAAGAAAAGTATAGTTTCTAAGATTGAAATTACCTCAGTGTGCAGATATCACTGATTTTGATTTTGATTTTTTTTTGATTTACAGCTTGATTCCACACTGTATTTTCGGTACAAGTATGGAATTTTCAGCATGGATATCGGTAGCCCAAATTTTGCAGGCCGACCATAGATATCAGATGTGCGTCGGTGCGGGCTCGAACCCCGGACCATGTGCATGGTCGGCGAGAGTCCTAACCACTGTGCCACCGACGCACTTAGGAAGTAATAAAATATCCATTAAAAAAAGCAAACGACTACGAATTCAAGTAATTTTGTGCAGTTTGGGAGTATTTAAGAGGATTATTTGTATTTTGCTACTTTATTACTGAAATCCCTCTTGAAGCACATGCAAATATAGTGTGCAACTACGGACAGATATCTTGTCTTACGAATGAGCGTTACGTTTAACCTTAATTAACTAACATAGTTTGGCAAAACTGTGAAACCATACAACCCAACTGCAAACATAGCACTATCATCACAAACACACAAAACCTGATTACTAGTTATCGTTGAATAGTGTTCATTACACGAAGTTGAACATCGACAGGAAACAAAACCAACCAATAAAATACCAGCTATCACATACCTTAGAAATTAATCAGCTTCTACGTTACCAGACTCTGAATCATCATCTGCATAATCATCGTCTTCTACAGTCTCATGACGACCGTATTCAGAACCTCGACTTCTACGGGGACATGGTGGAGAAGACTTCTTAAGCATCCTCTTATTACAAATTTCATTGGATTCTTCAGAATCTGAACAACCGTTTTCAGACCGTGTAGCCGATCGATCAAGTGAATGATCTCTTGACGAACTAGGCGTGCTACAATGATTTTTATGAGCTGATTCTATAGTCGGAGTCTCACTGCCATCTTGTTCATGATTGTCATCATCTTCATCCTCAGCATCCCAGTCACTAGTTTCATTTGTTTCATCAATCTTTTGATGACCAGAAGAATGAGAGTTATCGCTGACAGAATTTTCACGCTTTATATTTTGTGCTGCAGTTGTTGTGGAATGCATACCTTTATGATGATCTGAATTTTCAGAGTGAGAACTAGATTTTGCAGATTTTTCAGAACAATCCTCACTTCTGCCGTCACGATATCGACGTGACATACTTGAGCATGGCGATATAGGTAATCATGCAATTAATGTCACCAAAATATAAAATGCCAAATTCTAAGTGAGTTTTTCAATGATATATATGAACAGGTAGAAATCAAATGTGCACTTTGTTTGCAAGACGAGGATTAGTCCTTCAGAGTGAAACAATTCAAATGTCACTAATCAGACTATACTATTTTCACTCTTGCTCAGATCAGTGATGATCCACACATGGCAGTTTATCTACGAGTAATTCTATTGTTTTTGAAGAAAATAGAAAACAGTTCAGAGAAGAAAATTTTCTTTATCGAAGAAATCATCATCACAGACTGTACTGTCGTATTTATCTTCTCAGAAAATATGAAGTAGTCAATTATTGAGTATTAAGGGTGTGGCATAACTGATATAATTACTCAGATGTGACTTCAGAATTAAAAGTAAAAGCTGCAAATACGTAATACTGAACGGCACAAAAGAAGAAAGAGTTTGAAATTGGCTAAGGGTAAAATTGTTATTGAGTGGGAAGAACGGTAGCTGAGTATCAACATAACAGGTGTGTAGAGGGTGGGAGAAAGTTATAAAAGGAACATATGAGAGCGATAATAGTGAATTAATTATTAAAGTAAAAGCAAACTAAAAGTAAAATAAGAAAATAAAAAAGGAACGACTAATGAAGAGGTTAAGACCATTTTAGAATAAGACACTGGAAAAACTTTTCCGTACACGGAGTTCGGGGTTGCATCGACGATTTGCCAACGCCTCCGCCATACAGAAATGCCGAGACCTGGCACGCTTTGTACCATTTGGCTTCACCTTGTAGATAACCTGGAAAGATGACTCTTGTGGAGCTACGTGGCTTGAGTTCACCAAGTGCTCGAGAATTGAGCTGGTAATTGTCTTGCATTGCCCTTTTGCTGACCATGCAAGATAATGTTCAGAGATGAGTTTGGAAAGTGTGCACTGTGTGCGGCCAATACGACTAGCTCCACACAAGCAGGTGAATTTACAAACACACGCTGAATTGGTCCAAAGCGGCAGTTCATCCTTCACACATCCGTTGATCATTTGTTGGCTGTAAAAATTGATCGATAGCTCAGCCACAAAGAAGGCTTTCCTCAGTGATCTGGATAAGTGGTTCTTCAGGATCTCAGAAGCTGTATCACCTTCAAAAACAACGTTCATAAATAGTAGTGCCTTCGCCATACTTCATATCATATACAACCTATCACCATTTGTTGCCATTCTCACATTTCACTGGTCAACAAAGGTTTTTATCTGAGTGCTTAAAGAATTTCTTTCTGTTATGCTAAATTTATGCATGCTCAAGATTCGATAAGTCAAGAGATATAAGAAAAATTATTTCGTACTAACTTATCTTTATCCGATTTATCACAAACTGATGCAGTATTATTTACTAGTTGATGTCACAATCAGGTTATCCAGTAAACTATAATCTACCACAGCGTTTAAGTTCTAAAATGTATGACAATTAATTCAGCCCGAATGACGTGACGTTGGCGATAATATTCTATTGAACATACTCATAAAGTCTTAGACCTAAAAATATTAATTCTTATCTTATAACCAGTATGAGCATTAGATTCCCACTAGTTCATGGGCTTCAGAATTTAGCAGTAACGTAGATATTTTATATGTCACAGAACGAGAGTTTGCATTTAAAATCCCTCTTATTCTTCTTTTTTGTTAAATGTGATTAGATATTTTATATCACTTCAGTTTTGTTTGAATGTAATTTTTTAGTTAACATTACTTAATCGGTTCATTTGTTTTTACTAGCCTTTATCGACTACATGCACCTGAACATTTGTTTGTTTAATCGTGCTGTTTTTTCATCATTCGTGTTATCACAGATTGCCTCACTTTTTCATCCTTATTATTGATAAAACCATTATTATTACTATTACCATTATCGTTACTAATATTATGACTAATTGCACAATTTATATTCACCACCTTATTATCCTGTAGACAAAACACCATGATTGGTTTATATTTGAATTTTTTTAGTTGTCAATAAATTGTGACACACCATATTCGATTTCATGACTTATTAGTCAGACAGCCAGATCGATTAATTCAGTATTAATTTGAATAAGCCTAACTGAAAAACGTTTAATTGATGACAGTGACTAGCGAAACAATTCTATGCAGTGGCCAAGAGGTCAAGACCAAAGGTCAAGTCAGTTTATTGGGCTCATTCACTTAGTCAGTTCAATACACACACACACACACACCTACACGCATAGGTGTATGCCTGTATATAGGTGGAAAACAAAAATTGCATTGTTGACCAAAGTAAATCCGTGAGACATGGGCGTAGAACACCAATTAGAACAATATATTGTAACATGTAACAGGCGTAAGGGGGCTCACAAATGAAGCGATGATATTTAAGGCTTGGTGATGGATCGAAATACCTAAGATATAGCATTTATTTGACTTTACAGACACGCATTGCTGAAGAGCGTAAAACCTTGGTTCGAGGAATCATGTTACAAAACATAATACGCTGAATAGAACAGCTAGAAATATTAACATTCAGTGTAAAAATGATCATGGGCGTTTTCCAAAGTTTGAGGAAGTGGGAGGATTTCTCGACGGTGAAGGAACTCTGTGAAACTTATCTAAGTAAATAAAAAAGACGAAGTGTCTCTAGTAGCAACAAAAAGAAAGCAAGAAACATATCAGTGAAGAGCAATTCATATAAATGAAGGTTTTCAAAAACTAAAGACCTTAGATGACAAGATACTCACCACTACTATCGTATTTATTTTGGATAAGCAGTTATACACCCCGTTTTTGACATCATGTGTCACTAATTTTTACTAGGCTAATTTCTGCACGAGTTATTCTGTTAATTTCTAGATTCTTCTGCGTAATGGGTGGAAAATAGATATAAGAATAGAACGTGTGCACTGTGGTAGAGCATAATTCCATTATGGGTAAAATTTGTTTTGATAAAGCCTCACAGTGTTATACCGTAATGTTCACTGATGGCGTTTCGAGCACAATTTATTGCTCATAATCATATCAAGGTACACAGAAACAACTTTCTAACTTCGTTTATATAATTCCATTATTTTCCATCGCTTGATTTGATTGGTAGTAGTATTTTCCATATTTCCGGTATGAGTGATGACTCATTCCTATTGACTGTGTTGGGAGTAGACTCGATGAACCAGGATTCAGTCATCAAGCTCTCTCTCCACCTCCCCAGATTACCTTTCAGAATTGTAACCCTCTCCCACCCTATTGTGTGGTCGTGTGTTAATGCATGCAGTGCAATGTAGTTCTGAGCTTTTTTCTAAATTACTTGTCATCTCGGAGTCAAGCATTCTTACCTTAGCTAAATTGTTATGTTCCGACAATCTGACTACCCCTAACCTACTAGTTTGACCTATGTAGTTGACTTAACTCATAGTCATTGCAAGGTATTTTGTAAATTATTTTGTTTTGTCCATTTGGGTCAAGAGGGTCATTTAACCTATAGAGCTTGTCCCTGAGCGATTTTGTAGGTTTAAATGCCGCTCTAATTCCTGCTTTATTAAGAATCCTACGTAGGATCTCAGATGTCCCCTCCTTAAATAGTATAACAGTAGATGCCTTACACTCTCTCTCATTTATGTTATCATTATTAGATGGACCAGTGAAGTTTCTGTACCAGTGGTGTAGCTTTTGTTTTACATAGGGGGCTTGCTACCCTCACGTCCAACCTTCCCTACTTTCTTGGCCTATTACCAGTAAGTAATATGGGTGAGGTTTAGGATTGCCTCGGCTGGTAATCAAATCCTGACCTCACACCTGGTTGTTGAGCATTCCACCATTAAAACACTGAATAACATTCTTTAAATTAGACTTAGTATATAAGCATGAGGTGCTTAGGCAATAAGTAATAATAAAAAAAGTTTATACAAAGAAGAGAGTTAGAACCAAGAGCCGATAAATTTTAACTATTATGTAGTCTAATATGATATCAACGCATCCATCTATTTCATTTGTTCGGGTTAATCTTTTTGAACTAATCATGTTATCGCGTTTTTCAAAAATACGGTCACAGTAGTACATGAAGCGTTTAGCGAAATTTGCTTGTCATGTTTCAAAAATCATCGTAGTTAACTTGAAATCACACTGATGAAACATGTTTTATGAGGTCAAGAGTTCATCTAAGATCAGCAGCAACAAAAATAACTATTGTCATCAATATACAGTGATTTAAAATAACACCTTTTTCCGGATAAGTTCATATTTATTTCGAGATTACGAAACACTGTTTAGTTTTAGTAGGCGACATTCATAACTGGCAAAAATATGAAACTAAAAAATTGAAACAAATTTCTAAACTAATATCAAGCTAAGAATTCCTTCAGTATATATATATATATATATATATATATATATATATATTTCAAAATTACCTCAACTCAAAAGGCAATTTAACTAAACAAGAAATATCAATACAGGATAGTTAATAATCTGACAACTAGAGTTTATTGTAAAGTTCGAAAGGAAGTGGATTAGAGTAAGAAATCACTAATAAAAATAAAATAATTGCGTAAACAAACAACTGCGTAAATCTCAAAGTTAATAATGAGTTCAGGTCACTAAATTATAATCAAAAAGTATTCTGATGCAAGACAAAAAAGACATCCATTTACCAGGATAGTATGAATTTAATTACACTATCTTTCTTTAAACAGAGTTTAGATTGAAATCGTTTGATAGTTTTCGCAAAGTGAAGTAGCCAATATTTTCTGTGTATATTGATTAGTTTGAAGTCGCGACTGATGTTGACTGTATGTTCCGTGTCAATCAGGAGCCCAGCGATTGGACTAGCATATAGTATCTTAGTTTTCATAAGAAGACTGTTAGGGATATACTCTGAAAATTTGGTAGATTCTCTGCTTTCAGTCTTTCCTATGTACTTGCTATCGTATATGCCTCGAAATATGTAAATGCATTTGAAGTTGACATGAGGACAGTACTTATCTACT